TTTGCAACAGTAGAGCATTTTGTACCTGTGGTTGGCAGTGATGCAGGTACAGAACTGATCACAGCAATTTAAGTGATAACACAGTTTGGACTAAAATGTTTTCAGCACATCTGAGCAAAATGCATTGCTTTTGATAAGGGTTCTGACCCAGCCCAAAGAACAGGGGTAGTACATAGATAAATCACTGAGGGAAAAGGGAGTGTAAAATGTTCCAGATTCTATCTTTGCAGAATCTCTTGCCAAATTTCAGTAATTCTGTAAATTGAAGAATGTCAACAGCAATCGAAATTGCAGACAAGAAAGCCTGTTAGTTAACAAGAAATGTGTAAATCTGTTTAACGACATGCTCTGTGCTTCCGAGCTCAATGGAGAAATAAGCAACTTTTCTCAGTGGGAATAATTTAAAGGAAATGGGAAACAAGGATCAGTCTACAGCCTAGCCTTTCAGATCAATATTGGTAATAGCACAAACAAGAATGGAGTATGCTTTTTGTCACTCAGCTCTATGCTTTCTCTGGTAAACACTCAATTTAAGCTTTTTCTACACAAGGATGTATCTTGGATGATACCCGGATGGTTCTTGTAATTTTTTGTAACTTGTAAAGAGTTACAATGTGACTACGGAGTTGGTAGAACAGCATATAAATTTTCAGTTCTAACGCAGTTGAGGATTCTCAAGGTAGTAATTAATTTAATCGTTTTCATTTTCTTATTGCAGCGTCTGGTAAGTGAATACGAGCTTACTGGTAAATCCTAAACTACTCATTTTAGCGAGTGATTGCTAGTCATGCAGACCATACTAGATAGGGAAAAGAAAGATTTCAGGGAATATATTTAATACATGACTGCCAGTGTACAGTGATAATCAAAATACTAAATAATGGTCTTAAAACATAAGTGTCCTTGTGCAGTAGCAAAAAATGGCTTTTTCTGCTTGCACAGTATAGGTGTATGGTGGATCAAGAGAAAACTACTAAGGAACAGCTGGTATACAGGCATAATTTCTGTTGATGTCGCTCATATCCCTGTTTGGTAGTCAAATATGGTTTGGGTCCTAGAATCTCTTTAAGGTGTAGTTTAATCCCTAAACCAGTATTACATTATCTGTACAGACGCAGACCTGGAGATGTAGAGTCTATGCAATGAGACTTGAACAAAACTGAAATTGGTTCTTTACTTTTCTCAAAACATGGGTTTTTTTGTTGTTTGTTTTTTTTTTAATGTGTGCCAGGTACAGAGTTAAAAAAATCAGTATCATTTTTCGGGGGTTGTTTTCATTTCAGTAGTTTTTCTTTACCTTGTTGCAGGAGAGGGGCAAGAATAGCCACCAAGTGTCCCATTTGTGTCCCTCCAATCTGTCACATATAATGCTTTAAGGTATCATTCCTGCAAATGGTAATTTGAGAGTGTAGGCATACCATATTAATGAAACAGAGTACCTCAGGTGACTGCATAGGTTAGCAGATCTCATTCTGTCCTTACAGCTGCTGGGGCAAACTCATGGTGCCTTTTCCTATCAAAGGGAATAATTTCTTGCACAAGGAATCATTTCTTCATACCTCTACAAAGCTAGTGTTACAATTTAAAAGATGTAAATCACTATCAGGATTGCTATAATGGATTATATAATATATTATTCTAGACAGGAGGAACTAGTCTTGCTGAGTACTTAGCCTTGCCAAGACAGTAAGATTAGGTGGGCTGGCAGGTGGGAGTCCGGGGAGCAAAGGAGTTGCATTAAGCTGCACGGAAAACACAACATGGCAGGTCAAGGTAATTCACTGGTGGTCTCCACTCCAGAGTGGGCATTGGGATGAACAATATCAAGTCATACTTGATAGATTGTTAACTTTGGGGATCATGCAGGATACACGAAATGATAGTCCTTGAGGATGTTAAAATACAGCAGAGTCTTGAAAGACCAAGAAATTATACTGGTTATTGTATTGTACAGTTCAGTGAGATTGGTGTTGCTTTTGAATGGTTCTTCTTAGCTGTTTACTCAGTAGGTTTTGACCAATAAATACAGGATGAAATGCAAACACCAGTAATAGAAACCTGCGCAGCGTTCCCATGAGATTTGTTGTCATCATTCTTTGTAAGAGAGCGCCTGGGCTACTCTGTCCAGACAGCATCTGCTTCTTCCACACAGGATTTTTTATTTTTGGTTTAGAGTTATTAAACACACAAGATGCCAAAGTACTTGCTGATATGAGAAACAAGTCCCTATTAGTCTGCCTCTCATCTTTTTTCCCCATGTGCTGAATGAGTGAGAGAAGTCTTTTGCTCTGCTTCTTCCTCAAACCATCCAACAGGCAACTCTGCTGCTATCCATGGCTTCGCCAGAAATCTCCGTTGCATTATTCATAGCTTCCATGCTAGTACCAACTTTGGAAAAACACTATTGAATTTCCTCCTGCTGATATTGTTTCTAACTAACTCCTGGGTAGCAGCAAAAATGCACTGAGGCACTTACCTGCATGTCTTCCAAGTTAAATCGCGTTGAATTTATACAGAGGTCAGACTGGATATTTGCAACTGCTAGAAATTATTTAGAGTGGACGTTACTGTTTGTACGAACTGAATTTAAGTCTCCTTATTCCTCTTGGCATCATGTCTGTTTGAATTAAATATTTTTAAAATACTGCTGAAGGTCCAACTTTCCTAATTTCTTGCAGTTTCTGACCCCATTAGCTGTTGGAAGGAGGGTTAAAAAGATGTTTATTGCACACTTCTTTCGCCAGTGATTTCTTGGGATAAGATTTTTTTTCTATCCATGTTTCCTGTTGAATCAGTAGAAGAGTTTGAAGTGTGTGCTTACCTTGTGACATGGGCACAATCCTGCAAATGTGGTGAACATAATATTTAAGTATCTTAAATAGCTGGCACTTACTTCTGATGCTGCAAAAGCGGGAATGTGGTTGCATATAAGGATGCCATTTTTAATTTCTTACTAGGAGTGCCTGTAGGAGATATGTGTTTTCTGCCAGGTTGGAAACTGTCTCCTGGGTTGGATAGTCATGAAACTCCAAGAAGAAAATAGACGCCAAGTGGTTACATGTGCAAGCTACTGTATATATTAAGGAAGCAGCTTAGACAAGTGGTCTCCTGCTCCAGTAGAACAAAGCTGCCATTACACAAACAGTGCTAACCAGATTATGTACTTAATGAAATATCAGGGCATTTAATGCACAAGTGATTCTTTAAGAAGCAAGCCAGGGATACTGAATTTTAGAGGACATAGTCTATGCTACACCAAGTCTCTGTTTCATGAATAGCAGTAACTAGCAATACCAAGAAGCCATCAATCTTCATGAGAAATTTAGTGTAAAATTCTGCATCCCTTTGCTGACTCTGCTGCCTCTTGTAACAGTTCCATGTTGTATATGTGTTGCATGCACAGAGGCAGGTGTGAGCAAAAGGGAGACAGGATGGAGATAATAGCTTCTGCTAATCCCCCACTGGCATAATGTCCATTAGGAGTCAGTGATGTAAAGTCGAAACCCTGCTGTGTCTCTTCCCTCAAGGTCACAGAACCAGCTCTGTGTATCCACCAGTCTTTATCCAAGCACAACTTGTTCATCATGGAGAGGTGTAACCTGAATGTAAATCTGATCTTTTACTGTATTATTGACTGATGCTATACATCAGTAAGATCTCAGCTCAGTTCCCCTCTCCACTTTCAGATGCCAGTAGGCGTATTGGCAAACCTGATAAGCAGCTAGCTGGGCATGGCTTCAGAGTGCTCCTGCTTCCCAGCATTATGGAAAGGCAGGAAAGACTAAGAGGGTGACCAAGCACTTGCACAGACTTCCAGAATGGCTGTGAAGTCTTCATCCTTACAGATACTCAAAGCCCATCAGAACATGGTCCTGGGCAACTGGCTGTAGGTGGCCCTGCTTAAGCAGAGAGGTTGAACCAGATGACCTCCAGAGTTTCCTTCCAACCTCAGCCATTCTGGGTTTCTGTGAAATTTTTACTACACTTTAATAATCTTATGTGGTTATACACATAGCTGCATTTCCTTCTCTTCCCTCAAAATGAATCTGAGATCCCTGTATTGCATCTTTATGGATACATTTTTCAGAAGGAAAAGTTACGTACCATAGCTCCATTGATTATGAGTCATGAGAACACTTGCATTAAATGGTTTGTAATTTACCCTGTTTAAAAATTTTCTTTAGTTTAGAATTGCCTTTTGGTTGCCATCAGAATTGTTTTGGGGTTTTGCTCAAATTGAAAATACGTTTATGTTACCAAAATGAATGTCATTGTGGGAAAAGGATCAAGCATTGCCAATGTTTTTTATAGCAGTGATACTTGATTTCTTTTGTTGGGCATCCGGTAAACCACGTCAGGAGAGAAAGTATTATTCTAACACATGCACATACGCACACACGCATACTTGTTTGCCCACGTATTTTGTCCTAAATCCAGGCTATAGTCAATGTTCTTGTGGAACACATCCAGGCCAGGTATGATCAGTACAGTTTGGGATGTCTATTGCTGGTACTTGTCTCCTGTGCAGTTTTCTTTAAGCTAACAATCTCTCAGTAAATACTTCTTATTTGCAGGTCCATAAGGCACCCTACAACCAGGGATCTCATCTTCAGTGTACAACTATATCTGGTTTTATGTGAAACAGGAAAGAGAAATATCTAGTATGTTATTTGATCTTTTCACATTGAAACCTTTGAGGTAAAAATAAATATATTTATTTTTCTGAGGTAATATCTCACTCAGAAGAGAGAAATCATGTTCCAGTTTCTCCCTCTTGACCAGCAGATGCTGAAACAGTCTGAAAAGTAGAAGATACTCTAGACTGTATTTCAGTAAGTCTGTAACATAGTATGAGCTTTTTATTCAGGAAATTCAGTGGGTTCAGAAGCATGGGGCTGGTAGACAAGATCTGCAGTGGATTTTAACATCATGTTTTCATATCAAATGTATCATGTCATTTTATATTGAGTTTACATGCCACATCCTCTTTTTCTTCACAGGGTATATACCCAGTTACTTAGACAAGGATGAGCTATGTGTAGTATGTGGGGACAAAGCCACCGGATATCATTATCGCTGCATCACTTGCGAAGGTTGCAAGGTAAATGGCATGGTGGGAAAGTGGGAATCAGAAATAGCTTTCCAGCTCCTCCATTATACAGACTTCCTGAACTGTGCTGTCATAGAAAAGACAGATTAGAAGTGAATGAGAACATCCAGTACTGATGATAAGCCGTATCTGGCTATGCTGCTGCGCTTCATATGCATAAGGAATGTAGCTGATTTTTGCAGTGTTCGCTTCTAAAAAGAAAACAAGAAATTTAGATTTCTGTAGCTGCTGTTTAACTGTTAGCTTTTACGTTTCCATTGTTTAATGCTTCTTTGGCCATGTTCTCAGTCAATGTACATCAGCATGCTCCCAGCAGCTCCAGTGGAACTTTTTATGCAATAGATTCTGCCTATGGCCATGAAGAGTATGTAGCAATTAGCAGTGGTCCAGTGCCTCTCATCATCACTGTGAAGAAGCAAAGATCAAGGTCCCTTCCGCATGCTTATACAATGGTAACATCTATCACTTTGGGAAGCATTGACACCCAGTTAAAACAGTTTCAATAAGATCCTTACTTCTTTATCTTAAGCATATTGAAATGTGCTTTCAGCCCTAAATTGCATCCCAAAGCTACATGCAAAATTAGAAAAGAGATTGCTTTGGGCAAGCAAATAAATTAGAAGAAAAAATTGAGCAACACGGTCAGGCACATCTTACATGTTTTCACTGCTATAAATATGCCTGAATAGCTTGAGATCATGTAAGAAAGCTATTCTTTCCTGCAGAAAATAACAAATTATTGTATTTCTAAACAAATAGGACCACACATGTGTTGGACGGGTGTCATGGGACCAAGCCACAAAAGTCATATTCTCTTCATCCCCAAAGTCTGGAATATTTGAATCTGAGATTTTGGGTTTGGATTGGCTTTACGGCCCCACATCCCAGTAACTCTTGTGTTGAAGTAGTGCCTTCAGTTGTACAGCATTGTCCTACGTTACATTTATGAAATGCACAAAGAACTAAATATCCTATATACAGCAGATTTGTGGTAATATTCATAATGGTTTTATACACATGCATATGTAATAAGTATGAAAAAATATTTCTATCTGAAAAACCTTGGGACTGAGCAAGGGATTCTTATGCATTTGCATCCCATATACCAGGTGTCAACAATACATAAAATGTATGAGTATGACTTAATTCAGGTATAATGAGAAGTAAGCTACACTGTGGCATCATAAAATACCTTTTGCTCCCAGCTGAACAGCTATATCTCTTGCCAGTTTTTCTATTAAGGTTTTTGTTGCTCCAACCAAAGTATTTCTCTTTATGTCTACCAAGTATTTTAAAGATACAGCATACAAAATCTACTTTTATCTTCAGGTACAGTTCTTCTGTCTGATGTACAATCTAAAACAATCCTTTGTGCACAAGGAACAGAGCTAACCATTTCCAAACAGTAATTTAACTTCTTTCTCCTATTTCTAGTTGGCTTACAAACTGACCATTTTGTTTTGTTTTGAGTTGTTGTTCTGGCAAATGTATTCATTGTACAAGATGGGGGGGTTTATGTGGACAATTTCAACACATACTTTGGAAGATCTCTCATGAGATCCCACGTGGAATACTGTGTATAGTTCTCGTGTCCCCTGCGTAAGAAGACCATGTTGGAGCAAATCCAGAGGAGGGCCACAAAGATGATCAGGGGACTGGAGCACCTCCCGTATGAAGACAGACTGAGAAAGTTGGGGCTGTTCAGCCTGGAGAAGAGAAGGCTGCGTGGAGACCTCATAGCAGCCTTCCAGTATCTGAAGGGGGCCTATAGGGATGTTGGAGGGGGACTCTTCATTAGAGACTGTAGTGACAGGACAAGGGGTAATGGGTTAAAACTTACTGAAACAGGGGAAGTTTAGATTGGATGTAAGGAGGAAATTCTTTCCTGTGAGGGTGGTGAGGCACTGGAATGGGTTGCCCAGGGAAGTTGTGAATGCTCCATCCCTGGCAGCCTTCAAGGCAAGGCTGGACAGAGCCTTGGGTGATATGGTCTAGTGTGAGGTGTCCCTGCCTATGGGAGTGGTGTTGAAACTGGATGATCTTAAGGTCCTTTCAAACCCAAACCAGTCTATGATTCTGTGATTTTTCAGCAAAGTTGTATGTAATCAATTCTCAATGAATTTGACATTTACTGGATGCTTCCACTCAAAATCACTTTAATTGTGTAACAACATTAATCAAGGCTGACAGCCAAAAATCTGCTTTGGCAAGTGCTTTCATGAACAAAGCATTCTTTTGCATTATTTCTGAAGAGTAAATTGTAAGGAAATTAAACACGAATAAAACAAGGGTGAGTTCTGACATCACTGAAATGTTTCTCTGGACTGTACCCATTGCATCTATTGCTATATAGGTGCATGGTAAAGGAATTTAGGAAAAAGAGTAGTTGCCTTACGATAAAATTTTTTATTTATGTTTATTTGTTTATTTATGTTTTATTTTATTAATGAAAATTAACACTTCCATGATGAAGTGTTTGGACAGAGAACAGCTTCCTTATCACATTGTATCTAGAGATGATTAAAGAGGTTTTCTGCAAAAAGTTTCCAAGAAATGCAAAGAAATGGGAAGGTGAAATGTGCTGGTCCCAACACAGATGGTGAAGAGCCTTGTCATTGTAAAACTAGAGCTATGTTAAGTCCCATTCAGGGTTTGGAAAACACTTCCTGAGATTCATCAGAGATTTTTCCATCTCTTGCTGTAACTGCAGATTAGCCCTTGTCCTTGGTTGTCCAGAGCCAGCTTTGACCCTCAGGGCAGAGGGAGACGGGTTCTGTCTCTAGGAATTCGTCACAAGCTTGAGAGTGAATCCAAATCCAGCTGTTGGGTAGATGAAAGTTTGAGACCTGATCCAAATCTCACATAAGGGCATCTTGATTGTGATTTTTCTGGATTTTGTCTCGACCCAGTGGATCCCAGTCTTGCGAAGGCTCACACACATGCCTTATGCAACTCATTTTAATTGAGTTTTCATGTCTTATTATTATTAAGGAAGGAAAAGTTGCACTCTTAGCTCAAGTTGTATATGTAAGCTAAAACTCTAATAAGGACAAGGCTCTTTATTGTGTTCACTGGAATTAGAAGCTCAAGCTGAAGTACAGATTTATCCATACATCTTAATACAACATTCTCTGTTAACAGAAATTACACACTGCTATAAGATTTTACCAGGTATTATTTAATATGATTAAAACCAGAACTTTTGCTTTGTGAAGTGAAGAGACCGTTCATTAGATAAAATCCCCACTGAAGAGGCTATTTATTAGGTAAAATCTCACTTGAATTTTGCCATTTTCACTGAAACCAAAGCCATTCACAGTGGCCTCAATCACACTGGAACCCTGGTCTTTATGTCAAGGCAGTTGCAAGCTGCACTGCTGGATGCAGGCAGTCTCAAACAATGGTGAAACTTGAAATTAAAGTCTACGTTTCTGGTTTACAGCTTGTCTTGTCCACTCTTGCAGAAGTCAATGAGAAAAGTGATGTTGGAATTAGTACCAGGATTACGTCCGTAATGTTCAGACAGAAGTTTTTGCTGATTTCCTTACCTAAGGCCAGGGTCTATGGGGTATTTGCAAAATTCTTAGTCTTACCCAGATTTGGTTGTTTGGCTGGTTGGTTGGTTGGTTGATTGGGGTTTTTGGCTTCGATGGAAAGAAAGGAGTAGAACTGCTTGTTCTTAAGTGTAGCCTGTAGTGGCTCAGACACACCACTGTTCTTACTATTTGCAGAAGCTGCTCTTTAATTAAAAGTATGTATATGTCTCTTAATATCCCTCTAAATTATTATGTAATTTAGAAAGGGGATCAAAATAAACTCTCTAGTTCAAATGCAAAAAAATTCAACACACAGAAACATTATTTCAAGAAGACATGTAGACAGTGTTTGTCCCTCGAGTGTTACTTATGCCTTTACGTACCCAAATGTCTATGTGGTTTTAGTTTTTAGAGAGGAAATGTTTTGTGAAACTCAGATAAGAAATGCCATACACTACAAAATTAGTTTTCCTCTATGAGAGTTTCATGGAATGAAGTATGTTATCTTGCATTCTTAGGTACATTTCTACCAAACCAAAGTGGCTCCCAATTTGAAAAAAAAAAAATTGTGCAATGCTAATGCTTTCAAATGTATTTGTTTATTGCACTTAGGGTTTTTTTAGAAGAACCATTCAGAAAAACCTCCATCCAACCTACTCCTGTAAATATGAAGGAAAATGTGTGATAGACAAAGTAACAAGAAATCAGTGCCAGGAATGTCGCTTCAAAAAATGTATCTTTGTTGGCATGGCAACAGATTGTAAGTACATTTGTCTGTTTTTCTTTATTTTTTCCTTTTTTAATGTGTGTGTTTGCTTAAAGTATGTTGCGTTTTGAAGCTTGTTAAAGTAGAGCAGAACTGCCAGTACTTTTTTAATAACTTGTAGCGGGGATTTTTGTCCATTGCGTCAAACCACTCTCATAAGGCTGTAATTTTTTGTTTACCCTTCTCCAGACTGCACCTTCTCCTGGCCCTACCAGGCTGAGTAACAGTAGGAATGTTCACTCTCTGGAGGAGGGGAGGGAGAAGTACATCTGAATGGACACTTTGCTTAAGAAAAAAGTATCTTGTTTAGAAAATTCTGGAGGATGTGAAATTGAATGTCATTGTGTGAGTCATCCTGCAGTTGTTTGTTTTATTTTTAGCCCTGAAGAAGTTATCTGCTGCAAAGAACTCGACTCTAATTCTGAAGTAATAGAAAATATGGCTGTAAGATTAACCCTTAGGGGGTCATCTTTTTCTGCCACTGCACAGGGATTTATACCAATAACTTCAATTAGCGCAAGTGGGAGGAAGTCATGAGTCCCCCTGTGCATTGATGTTAATGGTTGTTGCTGGCGTAATCCTCTGCAGAAGGATTGACAGGAAATCGGGTCTAATAAACAACAGAAAAGCACTCTAACTTAGTATTTCTCATTGTTAATGTGATGTATAACAGTGCCTTCTGTCTAAAGGGAAATAGCAGAAATAACACAATTTCATTTTAGGCAGGTAGACTTTCGGGAGAGGGGGTAGGTAACCCTGGGCCACCATTTCATAGTCAGCCCAGTCTGATGCAGCAAGCAGTGGTGAGCATCAGACAGGTAGTGGATGTATGGAGTGAGAAGTTTCTCCGAGGCTGGTGCTGACCTGCAGGCGCCATTACCATAAAGCTGCTGTGGCCTTTGTGGGCTGCACCCCCTTATAACAGTCAAAGGAGCTATCACTGAGCCCAGCAGACAGGCCAACTATTCCCCAACTCAGGAAGGGCGGCTCCCACCTTTGAGTTCAAACATGTGAATGGGAGCATGTAAGTAAGGCTTTTGTTTTGCCTGCCTGCCTGCCTGCCCGCCACCAGCTGTGAATCAGAACAGTCCTCCTCTGCCAAAGCGGGCCAGTGAGTTTGAATGGACTACTCACGTTTGCATGGAAAAGGGGATAAAACCTTCCGTGGTGGTCACAGATGTGCAGCCCTGGGACCTGCCTGTCTGGCATCACTGGTAATAGTGGGGAGCAAGGGGAGTGCTACAGAATGTTACCATTTGTAGGGTTTGAGGAAAAGGCCAAAGGCAGATTGTTTCGGATTGTGTCATGCAGCAGGTGATTGAGCCTCCTGTGAATAAGTGTTCCCAATTTCGTAAATCCACGTTACCTTCTGCTGGCTTACAAGAACATTCTACACAATTCAGAGCAGTTAGCATGCTGATACTACTTCAAAGAAAACAAAAGTGTATCTTTCCCATCATGGATTACTGCAAGTCTGTTATGGCAGCACTTTGAGTCCTTAGAAGGCTTTTATGTATTAATTTTATAGGCAGAATGAGCAACTGAAGGTAATGGCAGTTAACAGAATGTTACCAGAAGGGTAAGTCATTCTTCGCAATCCAGGCATCTGAGAAAATTAAGTTCTTTTGTGTCTCCCTCCAAACTGTGTCAACTGCAGTTCTTACCAAAGTACTTCTTTACTGATCAGTTGAGGTGTTTATAACCATTTACTACCTCAGCCATAGAAAAGACCAAGGTTCAGACAGGCTTAAGAGCTTCCTTCCATTTCTTTATGCTTTTTCGCCTGCTAGTGGTGTTGGATGACAGCAAGAGGTTGGCAAAAAGGAAGCTGATAGAAGAAAATAGAGAGAAGAGACGTCGGGAAGAGCTGCAGAAAACCATTGGGCACAAACCAGAGCCGACAAATGAGGAATGGGAGCTCATCAAAATTGTTACTGAAGCACATGTGGCCACCAATGCACAAGGAAGCCACTGGAAGCAGAAAAGGAAATTTCTGGTAAGGACTGTAGCCTTTTACACTGCTCTTGGAGCCGTATTCCTTTCTTTCTCTTGAACTTTTAACTCCTTCCCAACTTTGGAACACCAAAGAGGGTATAACTACCAGTGTATTGATGTTTATGAAAAAGGGATGATTTTTTATAGTTACTGCTTGCTTATTCTTGCCTTGAAGTTCAGGGTTTGATCAGACCACGTATTTCAACAGATAAACAGCGTGTTGCTAAGTTAAGACTTACTCAGATGGATAATCTTAATGTGCTATTATAAGAAAAAGTAGAATTGTTTCACTCCTGATTGACAACAGTAGCATATTATATATGTATTTAGGGATAATTGTCTTTATTAGGAGCTACTATGCAACATATTCTAAGTCTTAAAACAATCAAAGTGTTAGGAGAAAGCTGATTTTTTTATTAATAACTCATGGTTTTTCATTTCTTACTTCAAAGTGAACATGTTAATTAAAATAAATCTGGCAAAGAAAAATTAATTTCAATGAAAGCAGGATGATACATGCACTATAGCATTGGGATTACAGACTACAAGATTACTTAAATTTTCATTCAGCCTGTAACTAAGGATCAGAAAATAAATGGTGATTTGTGATGCTCAGCCTTAAAAAAGGATTTATTTGATTCTTCTAAATCGATTTTTAAAGGAAATAAGTACAGAATCCAAGATGCTGATACAGCACAGAAGAGGGATTATAGACCATATTTCAGGAATACCCAAGGGTCTTTAACAGTCTGTGTATAGCTAATCAGATAGAGAATACTCATTTTCTGTAAGCCTAGGCTCCTGCTGCCTCATTCACTATTGGAATCTTGACCTACGGTTCAATTGATTAGAGAAGTTATATATTCAAACCAGCTGATCCCTTTTATAATGATCTGTTAATTCCAGTGGCACTATCTGAGTTTCTATATGAATTCCATGTTTGTAATAGCGTGCAGTGGGGAAACCACAGCCAGCAAACAATGGCAAGAAGCAACAGAGCGCTTTCCAGTGGTGCTGCACAGCACTGTTTGTGGCACTGATTTTAGCAGACCAAGAAGCAGCTGCAATAGTGTGTTTGGTTGCTTAGACAGGAGGGCTGTTCTTTGGGTATTGCCTGGTTCAGGATAAAGCCTGGGCAGCTTGACACTGGGGCTGGGAATGAATACCCTGGACCACATAAAATGTTCTCATTGAGGGACTTCAGGCTCTGAAAACAATCACAGCAGAGGGGAAGCCTCCGGCAAAGGGCGCCCAGAGGCAGAGCATGAGCTGAAGCGATGACAGAACTATTGAGAGAAGGGATGGAGCAGAGGCAGGAAGGGTAGTTGTAATGGGCAGCTCAGAAACCAGCTGTGACTTCCACAGCTGGTTCCTAGGTCAGACCAAACTGTTCTAGGTGCAGCCCTCACTGCAGGGCCTCCTAGTTCTTTGCAGTGCTCACATGCTGAAGCCCAGTGGTTTCAAGGCAAGCATGCAAAGCTTGCTGACACATTGCAGTGAACACAGAAGGAAAAGTCCATGATGGTATACCAACCCCGGGTGGAGGACTTCGAAAGCCCCAGCCACAAGCTCCTGAAGAACAATAGGAGCTGACTTGCATGTCCCAGGAGCTGTGGGTCGGTCCTTAGGCAGTTGAGGCTGATACTTCAACAGCAGGAGCTCCTTTGAGGTCTGGACCTCTTTTCTTACTGAGGTGAGTTACGTGGCAAGGGTCCTCCAGTTGCATGCCCTTCTGGAGTGTATTAGCTTTAGCTAGCAATCCTGACTTCTTTTGCCTTTCCCAAGAAAATGCTGAGTTCTTTTATTCCCTAACAATGTTATGCATGTTTTTAAGCATTTGGTCTTCTTGCTTGGAAGTTATGAAGGTTATTTTTCATGAGCACACAGACAATCTGGTTTAGTTTCCCAAGATTCAGGGAGGGGAGGACCTACAACTGGGATTATTTTAGTTTCTTACTGGGACCCATCAGATAATTGAGCCCAGTCCTCTTCATTGTTCTTTTACACTTGGAGCTTGCTTTATAAACACATTGCTGAGTTTTTTTCTTGCAAGAAGTTAGATTTGGATTCACATTGGTGACAGAGCTGTGGAATGATCTTTTATGATGTGTTGCTTAAAAAATTAGCCGAGCACAAGTTTTTATTATAGATAGCACTTTCAGCACCTCCCCTGTTCAAGTGCCCTTATATAAATGTCAAGAAGTCTTAAAAGCCACTTTCTCTGGGTCTTATTCAGTTTTGGCTCTCTGATGTGAACAAAATCAAACCTCTGCATGGCGGCTGGCAGGTCTTTTACAACCACAAAGCCACACTTAGGGAACAGAACAGCTTTGATATGCATGTTTTTAAAATACACAGGAGCATTGATGCACTGTCATAAAAATCAGGTGAACAAGTTCAAGTGAGTTGGAATAGAGAAACACTCATCACATTCTGCTTGAAACTATTTCATTGTATATCCCTATGGGATTAATTCTTTTTTCAGCTTTTGGAGAAACCTTGGGCTGAAGTCATGCAGAAGGTGATTTTCAACCAAAATTTTACCCAGACAAGCTCAAATTCTAGTCACTTTATCCAGACTGACTTTGTGTTAGACAGTTCTTAGTCATCAGTTGGTTTAGCCTAGTTTTGGGAACAGGCCCTAGCAGTTGCCTGGAGCTCTGTGATGCCAGGCAATCTGTTCTGGTAAGGATTTCAGAACTTCGAGTATGTGAAGAGCCCAATTCTGCAGAGCTGTCAGCAACTTCTCAGGAATAATAAGCCACCTCAGCTCCCTTTTCTTCTAGAGAAACTTGAGAGTTCTCAGCACCTGTAAGAACCAAGAACAAGCCTACATTTTTAAGTAAAAAAAAAAATTTGCATATAAGCTATACCCACAAAATACTCAGATACAGGCACAAGGAAGAAACTGCACGTGCACACTGTTGCAGCTGCCCACACAGGATGGGTAGCGGTGTTCTACACGCCCATCTCTCTGTGCAGTCACCTCTTTCACAAATGCCTTACAGACAAAAGGTGGCATAATGGGCATTACTTACAAAGCAAACTGTGGTATTTTGCATTTCAGTGTAGCTTCCATTGCTAAGCCGGACTTTCTAGCATCTAAAGTAGTTGCTGTAAGAGAGATTGTTCCTTTAAATATATCTGTTTATATCCTTAGCCAGAAGATATTGGTCAGGCACCAATAGTTAATGCCCCAGAAGGTGGGAAAGTGGATTTAGAAGCCTTCAGCCAGTTTACAAAAATTATCACACCAGCGATTACAAGAGTGGTGGATTTTGCCAAAAAGTTGCCTATGTTTTGTGAGGTAAGAAGACTTCCTTGCACTCCTCATGTATATACCTGTTGTTAAAAACTATCCGAAATCTTCCTGGCACAGAACTAAAAAAATCACTGTGTTTAAGATGAGTAAAGTTAAAGAGACTTGACATAGATGGGACTAGAATCATGTGGAATTTTATGGGTTTTCTTTTTCCTGTGATTACTGAAGTCCTGATTTTGTTCATGTAGAAGTCATTGTGGTTCATTAGGAACTCAAATGTGTCTTTAGAGGCAGCCTTGAACAGAACAGATGAACAAAAAGCAACTGTCTAGAAGCATCTTTGAATTGTTTAATCAGATCTCCCAGCACACAGTTCCCTCTGTGCCTTATGACTCCTTGGCCAGTACGGTATAGTGGAGTGAGGTCTACACGGTAACAAATCCTTCAAATTCAGAAAGCATCCATATCAAGGAATAGCACTTGCCTCATTGTGTTACCTAGGAATGCTTTTCCTAAACAGGGAAGTTATGCATAAAAGAGTCTGTAAAAGTAATGGAATGTCATTACAGGTAGATACTACCATGTAAAATACACAGTAAATAGACTTAAGTAGACTTAATTGCATGTTAGGAATACAGAGGCACTAGGCTGATACTGAGCTATCGTTTTATTGAAGGACCAGGCACAATGGTGGTGATATTTTTTTCCTGAGTTAAAAAAAATGTATCGGAACTGCAAACTGGAATAATATTTCAGTCTTAGTAATCTTAATGACGTTTTAACATGGAAATATCCCCAGTCCAGCCATGGAAGAATGCCTGCTTGCTTGCCCACCATGCAGAGCAGCACTTGACTCTGCTGGTAAAATGCCAGTGGTGAATTACATTCGAAATGGGAGTGACCATGGTCAATGAACATTTGGCTTCCTAACTCAGGAACAGTGTTTCTTCTTCACAAGTAAACATCACTCAGGAAGGAAGTTTAAGGCAACCATAGCATTTTACTCTTCTGTGGCTGGCAGCTTTCCTTTAAGGTCAGTCAAGGAAAGCTATTTATGTCCTCTGGCACCTACAGCACAAGAAGAGGTAAATATCAATAGTTGGCATAGTGTAAATAGCTCTCCCTGGCTAACCTCGGCATTGGCTCCATCAGACAAGTTAAATAGCTCTCCCTGGCTAACCTCAGCATTGGCTCCATCAGCCGAGAAAGCATGAAGTAATGGCCAAGCATGAAGATTTTAAAATGCAGGGAATGTGTCCATAGATCAAGAGGCTACTGCAGCATTCAGTGTCTGAGGCAATTTGTCTCCTCTGATTTGGCATTTGTTGGTGGGAAGTAGCAGTTGGTATACCTGTTATTTTTCCATATACAGCAAGGTGTGATAGCAGAGTGAGGGACAACTTGTGAACACAAAGGAGTAGGACAGCTCTCATCCGAGTTGTCATATAGATCCTGCTGTAGCATAAAGAAAATAACAATGTTTGCTCCTTTTTGAAGTGGACAAGCAAAGGGCAGGAAACTGAGGTGCTCAGCTCAGTTCCATGGGGCTGCAGTTACAAGTGTGATGGCTGCCAATATGTCCTGCCGGGGTGAGCACCTCAGGCTCCTGCCTTTTGCTTTTTCTCCCTGCAGAGGGAAAAGGAAAGGACAACATGTGACAAATAATCAGTCACATTTGTTGACTTCGCTCCTGGAAGGTGCGCTGGTGGTAGCAATGCTCAATTGATGACTGTAGATAGCATTAAAACCTGCATAGCTGGGAACAAAACTGATGCTCATCCCCCTGTCTTTGGTGACTGCTGCTACTGGCAAATAAGGCTGGACACTTGGAATTGTGTCCCATATATTCTTCAGAATTAGGAAAGCAGATGAATGACAGGCATAGTCACAGCACCACGATCATAAAGAAGTTCTAAGAAGGTTCAAATAGGAAGAGAAATTCTCACTGGTTTTAAGTTACTAAAAAAACATCTAAAGCATCATGAAATACCTTCCATGTTGTTATCTGTCTCTTTTCCACCATTCTTCCTTCTCCTTATTTTTATTCTTAAGGTCTCTTTTCTTTTTCCTTCACATATGCTTTCTCTCTCCTCTCCCTTCCCCTTCTCATCCTTTGCCTCCCTTTTCTTCCCCTTTTATTTAATTTTATTTAATGTTATTTCATTTCTTACTCTGTTTCTTTCCCTAATTCAGTCTCAGCAGCCACACAATGGCACTGTCGTTGGGTAGTGAGACTTCCACTGTGCCTGTGCAGCCTTCCATACACTGCTGCTGAGCTGAGAGCAATCAGCAGAGAAGGTGATTTGCCCTGAACAGGATGAGTCATTTTTCTTGTGTACCAAACACTTCACACCTGAAGTTGGCATTGCTGGAAAAATAGCTGCATGATTCAACTCCTTTAACTGACTGTGGCTAGCTTTGTGCTTAAAACTGTTCTCTAAAAAGGAACAGCCTTCCACTTGAGTTAGATAGCTGTCTGGCATCCACTCTGCACCATTTTACACCAAATCAGTGTACTTGCTTTGCGAGTACACAGTTGCCATGTAAACCTGTAATTGGTGAGGATTTTTTCATTTTGATTTGTGAAACGGGTAAATATAATAACTTTGTGTGAATGAGAAATTGATGGATTTTTGCCTCCCTTCAAGCCAAGTAGAAATGAGTTGCTTTTTCATCTATGTGACCATTGCTGTTTGAGACTGTTAGAAGCAGTCTCGAAATAGTCTTGTGGGTTTTGCTATCATTAAATTACTTATGAAAACATAAAGACATGATTTACAGAATGTGTCTGCATCCTGGTAGTACTTTATAAATACAGGACCTATTTCCACCAGTTCAGACAGCTTACCTTTCTTGACGTTGTGGAAAAGACATGTCTAGCCACATGCCCTGAAGATCGTGCCTTATGCACTAGTGTAAAAGCTGAAGTTAAACCATAGATTTTCTGTCTGTCCAGCAATAATATGGGGACCCTAGGGAGATCAGCCTTACTACGCTAAAATATAGCTTAAATTTTCTGTTGTTCAAATGGGCAGTGAGAATTAGAGTACCTGCCCTATTCAGTGATTGAGGTTTCTGTCCTAGAGACAAGAATTTATTTCACTCCTTTTAATTAAAAAACTGTTCACTCTTACAGACCCTTCCAAATGTCTGGTTTTAACTTTGGCCAGGTAAAAAATAAGCATGGCTGGCTGTGAGTTTAACTGGGATGGCTGAGGTCTGTACCAGCTCCAATTGTACTTTATTCTGTTATGCTATGCTTTAAGCTGAAGGAGTTCAGGAGTAGAAGAGAGGAAGGAAAACAGCTGAGAACAGTGACCCCTTCAGCCATCTCAGTGAGATCCACCCCTGATGGGAGACAAAACCAATAGTACATGTTACCACTAACCTGGCACCTGACAGGTCTGCTTCTCCATTCACACTTTGTTAAATTTTCTGCAAAATGGAAAGCTACATTCTTAAGGTTTATTGGGTTTAATTTTATAATGCTCCCACAAACTGACTGGTCCCACAGAGAGCAGCACATCTGCAAATTGGGTCACTTCATCTCAGCATCTGAAACAGCTTGATTTGCCTGGAGTATCTTGTCCAGGACCACTTGCCTATAGCTGTGTCATCACTGAAGTTCCTAATGGTGGGGGGGGGTGTTAACCTGCTGGCAGAGTCTGAAAGCAAAAGTATGAGTCTTGAAGGTCTGCGTGGTGCAGTCAGTCAGCAATGTGTTTGGAGAGTAGCTGCACTATGCAAGGTAGTGTCCTGGGGAGTGACCCACAACTTCATGCTCATGGATTTATTGTAGTTGTAACACCAACTCAGTTTGGAAAACATATCTTTTCCTTTACTGTTTATAATTTCTGCAGCTGCCATGTGAAGACCAGATCATCCTTCTGAAAGGCTGCTGTATGGAGATAATGTCCCTCCGAGCAGCAGTTCGCTATGACCCCGAGAGTGAGACTTTAACACTGAATGGGGAGATGGCGGTGACAAGGGGCCAGCTGAAAAATGGGGGTCTTGGCGTAGTGTCCGATGCCATTTTTGACCTGGGTATGTCACTTTCTTCATTTAACCTGGATGACACCGAGGTTGCCCTTCTTCAGGCTGTTCTGCTTATGTCATCAGGTGAGAACAGAAATATATTGGGAACCCAACGATTTTGAAACTCTTTAGCCTTTGTCGCAAACCTCTTTTTAAAATAAATAGAGTATGTTAGATCTTGTAGTGCTGACTAGAGTAATGTGGGAGAAATTTTCTCTCAAAAACCCCTAGCAGCTTAGAATTAGTTTACTCAACACTAGGAAAAAAAAATCCAGGGTATTCAGAGAGATGGGTATGAAAGTGGCTTTGGTAGCACAGCTTGATCAGTGTAGTACTTACGGAGGAGGCAGGGATGATCACCAGAAAGAAATCAGATCTGGTTCTGAGTCAATTTCCCTTGAATGAAAACCTGGTAATTTAGCAATAGTTGTCCTTACAGTAAGTTCCTTCTTCCTCTATGTACTGCCATGCACTGGGCGGGATGTACAGTTTACACCTATTTCCATCAGTGCTCGTATGCTTTTGCATATGAGCAAGATGACTCTCATACGCCATCTTGCACCACTTGCTTTTGGACATTTGAGAGCTGTGCCATTTCCCCATGCAGACCGCAACTGGTCTCTTGGTGTTGTAATACAGAAGCAGCACATTTCATATGATTTCCAAAGTGTTTCTAACCTTCTCAAATAGAGTATGTGTTCAAGTATGCTTCCATGGACTGTGCCAGCCCAAAGAGGAAATTCCATTCTTGGGCAGTGGCAGGTTTGGTAAGATTTTGGTTTAAGACCACTTTGAATTGAATTGAGCATTGAATAACAATACACAGACAGGGATTTACAAGCATTAACTGTATCTGAGACAGAAAGATTTCCACATTAATCACAAGAAAGCACTTGACCTTCCCAATCAAAATTTTGATTTTAGTTCCCTATGCCATGGTACATGAGTAGGGGATTCAGAAGGACCTGCTTTCAGTTCAGTTCAGAGGACCTGCTTTCACAAAAGTGTCTTCTGAAGAGTGACTTGTGAACGAAGCTTTCCCAGCGCCCATCTGGGTGCCAGTTGAGACAATCAGGCAGACTTTTGGTGGTGTTGTTCCTTGATGCTCCATAACAGTTTCCTTTGCAGCTTTCCAACTGTGAGACACTGGCACAGGTTGCCCAGAGAAGCTGTGGCTGCCCCGTCCCTGGCAGTGTTCAAGGCCAGGTTGGACAGGGCTTGAAGCAACCTGGTCTAGTGGAAGGTGTCCCTGCCCATGGCGAGGGGTTAGAACAAGATGATCTTTGAGGTCCCTACCAACCCAAACTGTTCTGTGATTAACCTGTGGATCAAAGCTTGACCAAAGCACTGGTCATACTGTAGAGAAACAGATATGAAAGAACTGTGATTTAGATATCTGGCAGGGAAAATATTTTGATTCTTTATTAGTTGTTTCATAGAAAGGTATAGATAGAAGCCTTAGCTGAGATCAGGGGTCTGTTGCTGTAGTCACTGTAAGGAAACTTCCCAAACATATATACTCTCTATGGACAAAAGATGATGAAAGGATTATCTCCTTGTTTTAATGAGGCTTGTACTGATAAGTGAGGTGTCCAGGGTCAAAGACGTTATTTGTGGCAGAGCCAGATGTTCTTGGTTCTTCCTTTCTTTCCTAATAACAGAATCGTCCTATTTTTCCTGATTTACAATCAGGAATTTGTTAAAGTAGATAAGAAATAACAGTAACTCTGCTTCTTTGTATCTACAGATCGCCCAGGCCTTGTTTGTGTCGAGAGGATTGAGAAGTGTCAAGAGGGTTTCCTCCTGGCATTTGAACACTACATTAATTACAGAAAACACCATGTTGCACACTTTTGGCCAAAACTGCTGATGAAAGTGACAGACCTGCGAATGATCGGAGCGTGCCATGCCAGCCGCTTCCTGCACATGAAGGTGGAGTGCCCCACAGAACTCTTCCCTCCATTGTTCCTGGAAGTGTTTGAGGATTAGAGACTGGAGCAGTTCTCCACACCCCCATCACACTACTGGCTGTCATTTCATCCTGTTGTCCATCTCTTCTCACCTCTGTTTGTTCTTCTTCTTTCATCTCTTATGTTTCTTGAGGCGGGGTTGGGTTTTCATTCAGTTTTTCTTCTGGGGTTACTGGGGGCAGTTGTATGCACATGGATGAAAACATCCCTTTAACGCGAGTACTTGTGACTTTTAACTATTGCAATTTGTTCTTTGGTCCTTTGATGTGAATGCTTTGACAGCTTAACAGTGAAAATACAAACAAACCAGTCTCATTCACCAGCACTAGCGTGGTCACCAGCTCACACATATCATTGCTTGGAAACTATGGGAGAGAAATTGAAGTGGCAGAAAATAAATTGGCTTCCAAGGTAAAACAACTATTGTTAATTTGACCCTGACAATTCTGTCTAGTATTACCTCATTTTGTAGGTCACAAGTGACCTGAGATGACAATTTCTAGTCTTCATGGTTTTTCCTATTGTAACAATCACCATTATGATCTAAGATCTCCATCATCATCATAATCACATTATTACTTGAGGATTGTTCCGGCAGATACAGTTTAACAGTGCCTCATAAATCAAATACTTTTATAACACAAATTTAGAAGGGACTGGCTCATTTTTTTCCACGTGTATCAGAAATTAAGATCCTTCAGTTCTTACTACATTTGAACTCCAGGTAACTTCATTGGAAGGTATGTTGGAGAAGGGAGGGGAATATGATCCTCTGAGGTGCTTTTCCTCAGAGTGGAGGCATCTGCTTTTTGTGAGGTGTGTGTAAAAATCGTCACTCTGAGGGATAAGGCTCTCTATCAGGGTAGCAGGCTTTCCTCAGATATGAATGCTCACAGAATGAGGACAAGGAGAATAAAGTATATGGAGTGACCTTCAGATGGGACAAAAACCAACTGTGTCATTAATGACACTCAAGACTGTGCAGCTTTATTCCAGTAATACAAATAGTGTTGCTTGGCAGTAGTCTTTTGGTGTTTATATATATATATATATATATATATATATATATATATATATAAAGTTTATATGCATGTATATATATAATTTTATATATATATAATTACAAATCATCATCAGATGTCTTAAACATATTTCCATTGTTTTATCTTTTCTCTCTCTCCTGCCCTCTCCTCTGTGTGTGTTGATCAGCCTGGTTCTCCCTCCTTGGTGTCTGTATGACTTTTGTTTGGCTAGGTTCTCTCTTTGAGTCTTTTAATTTATTTCCACTAACTGCACTAACAGGAACCAAACTGAGCAATGGCAGGATGTTCTGCTGCCAAAATCTGCAAGCCAGTACTCAGTCTTGGAATGTTTGGAGACTGGTGATGGGGGCATGATAGGTAGAGGTTCCTCTCTGTTGTACATCTCCATTCAGGGATGTTGTCCCTAGGTTCTATAAACTTGATATTAAACCATTCTCTGAATTTGTATGATACATCAAAAGCATCCTTCTGTTCTTCCTGGGAACCAGAGATTCAGTTCACCTGTTCTGCACTTCCTCATATCCCATGTTCTTTCATGTTGTACATGCATTTGTACCAGTTTCTTTCTCTGCCATTTATTGATACATTTGCCTGGCAAGTCGGTGGGCATTGTTAGGGTGGATGTGTTGACTTTCAAAGCTCATGGCCCATACTAAGCCCATATGTTATGTGTTTATCCCCTCATGAAAACATGATACTCAGGAAAATTTGGTGGTGGAACACAAAAATATGTGTGTGTCAGGGGCTGAATTCTTCCCACCCCTCTTTCCCTGCATCATTAATAATGCATTTGCAGTGCTATTGGCTGTGGTTTCAGGGGTGTAGAATCTTGTTCTCCCTGTTCTTTGATACCATATGCACCTGTGATGAGGTGTAAGCACTGATGTTATCACTTGGGGGGTTGTACCCTTAATTTTGTGAGAACATAAATTACAGTGGGGTGTTTAGGTTTTTTTTGCAGGTAGCAAGGAAGACAGATCACTGGAAATTTGTTCTTAAATGTTTGCTGAAGTTGAAGAACCTCTGTTGTGGGCTGTGTTTACTCCATCTTGAAGCATATGTATTAACAGCATCGGTCTCTATCTAAATTCCTTGTAGAGAACTATTTGTTGGGGGCAAGAAGTTAGAAACTTTCCAGCTTTTTGGAACATGAGACCAGACGATGTGATGAACTTGCATGTACTTGTGCAGAATCTCAGATGAGCAGCATCTGTCATAAAAGCATAGTCAGTAAAGAGTGCAAAATATCTGATTTGGAGGTGGTTTGATAGGAAACTGATAGCACATAGGGAAAGCAAAAAATCAACAGACCCATTACTTGTATCTATACCCACAGTGGCTTGCAAAGAAAAGAGAATTGTGCATGTCCTCTGGAGTTCTATTCTGCCACAGATCTGAGCATGGAGTTCCTCATGAAGCCAGTGCAAGTATCTCACCTGTTTGCTAAATGTGATCAATCTAGTGTACAATCTTTTGACTCTGATACTAATGAGACCCAGGAGAAGACACACCATGTTTCTCCTAGGAGTGCTTGCAATGATCTCACTACAAGATCCATAATGTTTTGTATGTTTTTCAGAGCTTCAGTTCCTGGAATTCTGCAGCTGCTTGAGAGGTTCTTTCTGTCATTAAGGTCAATAATTCATACCCTTTGGGCTATAAAGAAAATCAATAGCCTAGATGTTAAATATTTAGGTTGGAAGTCACTACCTAAAAGTGATTTAGCTCATAACTGTTGCGGCCCTCGTGCCTGGCTTTTGAACACTTGGGATTGTCAGGACTGCATTATTCAAAACATAAATAAAGATCAGAGGTTAGAAAAAAAATGTGAGAGTTACTGGGTTGACTTGGGGAAACAGCAAGAGGAGGAACAACTTGAAGCACCCTGGACAGAACTGCAGCTTGAAACAGTGCTGAGAATTAACACTTTACACACTGACTGCTGTAAAAATCATTGCTTGTATAGAAACTTGTCCCCAGAGCTCTACCATAGCAAGTTATAAAGTTTTAGAACAGCTTGCATAAATGAATGTCTGAATTGAGGCACGTAAGCTGCCTGAGTTAATGGCCTGACTTGCCAAGGTGCTGATGCAGTTTGGAGTTGTGCTTAATCAGGATTCAGAAAATAACCTCCTTAGGTGGTTGCAGATGGACTAAAGTACTGAAAAACAGGCAACCAACTTTGACAGGTTTGGCAGGGCTCTAAGCAGAAAGGACATATGTCAGCATACTTTTCTAGCTTTTTAGATTAAGCTGGAGTCTGGCACTGATTAACAGGGCAGGATTAGTAGTAGTCAATTGGAAACCAAGACCAAGCTCTTAGTTTGACAGATTTGATGTACTGACATCTAATGGCCTCTGATCTCCTACCGGTCTTATTTTGTGTAACTTAATTTACTCCCTCAGTATGATTTATGTGATGATGAGAGCAAAACTAGATCACATGAGGATGTTCTTGAAGATTCTTACCAGTGGATACTGACTGTAGTTCTGCAAAGACATGCTTGGTTTTAACCATCTGAGTGGCAGACATCAGTACTGCAGTCAGCACGCTTTGCAGTAGCTGGCTTTCTGAGTAAAATAACAAACATACGCTTTCCAGTGCAGTCCCAAGTCTCATTTCTGATGGTGCCACACAACTCTCATGCTTGCTTTGTGGTCTCCGCGTTGGTCTCACATAGGAGATTCTTCCTATCAAACCTGATTGTCACCATTTATGGTTTTGCCCTGAGTAACTCATGCATTTAGATACTTGTTTCATGTGTGATCTCAGTTATGATATTTATAATGACATAAATAGCGTGTGATAATGATTTTTGTTTACATTCTGCCAAAATACAGACCTTAGAGATAGATTTCCAAGGTCCAAAATAACTCTTGAGCAGACTGCTTGCTTCTTCAGAGGCAGGCATCAGAAAAGAGGAAAAAACTGTCAAGAAAGACCATTTATATCAGCAATCTGCCAGGACAGGGCTGTTGATAACAAGCAGAGCATGTCATTGCTAGTGATGTATTTTTATGCTATGGAACTCTAAACTGTATGTGTCATATTGACTTCTTGCTGCATGAATCATAAATTATACAAATCAGTCTTATGGTTTTGAGATGTAGCCAGCATTCCTAAGGCTAAACCTTTTTCACTGGTGGAATTAAACTCCACAACCAAGGAACATACTCCTCTCACTGCGAGAGTAATTGAAAGTGTTCGACATTTATCTTTTCACAAAGGAAGAGGCAACAGGACCTCTTGATGTGTCTTGTTATTGTGATCATCTGGAAATGATTGCCAGACGTTTCCTTTTGATACAGCAATGAAGTGATCTGTATTTAAATTTTATAGAGAGAATTTTATTCTAGTGTGATAGAGATTTATTTTCCATTTAAAAGACTCAAAACGATGTGAGCACGGTGAGGTGGTTTTTTTTACTATGGTTTATTTTTGCTTTAAAATTAAAAACAAAAAAAAAAACAAAAAGGTTTGGCCTTATCACAACATTCTAGCATAGATGTTAGCAAATGCAAAGAGTATGCATTATTCGTGTGTATCCACATTGACTGATGTCGCCTTCAAAAAGCAATATTGTGCAGGTAATAAGGTGTTTGTGACTGTCCATTGCACAGTTTACCTTCTTTAAAAGCTAATCTTGTTTATGCACAAGACAATCAAATGTAAATCTACATCAGCACTTGGGTGTAGATTAAATTTATGTAAATTACTGAGCACAATGTAAAACATTAAAAGACACTTTATTTAATTACACATTTATTGTTGGTAAAGATAGTATCAGGGCATGAACTAGCTGACATACTGTAATTTCTTTTTTTCTACTTCCTTCGCACTCTTCAGTTTTAGTTTGCTGATAAATACATCAAATTAGTCATTTGTAATTTTTTGGAAGAGAAGGGTGGTTTGGGTTGTTTATTTGTTGTAATGAAGCTGGTTGGGACGATGTCTTACTTTGTCTATGAGGTTTGTGGGTTTTGCTTATTTGGCTTATTTTTTTTATATCAGTTTCATGCCCTGAGGGTAAGGCAAACATTACACCACACAGTAAAAAACAAAGTACCTTGGATGATGTATTATTTTTGCAAACAGTGTTAAAGTTATGCTAGATTGGTAATATTTTTTCAGCCTAAAATATATTAAAACAAAATCTGTGATCACAAATGTTTTAAACTATCTAAAGAGAAAATTTGTATATTTGGGGGAAGAAAATAATTTTTACATAGCTTTTGTATGCAGATATTAAAATGTAATTATGAATATAGTGGGCATAGATAACTGTGTAAGCTTGAATTCTAAAAAAAAGAAAAAGCTTATAACTGAGAAGTCCTCCTGGTGTCTCTGTCTCTTTGTTGCAGGCTGTTTTGTCAGCTCTGTCGCACACATCGAGCTGCTGGAATGGGAAAAGTAGGATCCAGAGCAAAATGTTGTTCACATTTCTGTCCTTCTGCATCGCTTTCATCATCCACATTGTATCTTACCTGCTCTCCTCCCCTCCCTTGGGCACCCAACCAAAAGTTTTCACTTCCCCGCTGTACACATTAGCCAGAATTACTTCACCCCATTGAATTGACTCTTGACTTATG